CTCTAAATATCTTTTTGTACTTCCTTCTCTCTCTTTTTTCTTTCTCTTCCTCTCTTCTTCATTTTCCTCTTTGCGTTTATTCATCTTTCCGATTACACTGTATTTTTAGTATTACTAGCATTAGTTGCCTTTTTTTTTATTTTTGAAAACAGAATATTTGCTTAATGAATGATAATAATACAAATGGATTAATGACCGATATGAGAATACATCAGTATTTATAGATCAGAGTGATGTGCTATAATTAGTTAATAATTACTATAATCTGTATCTACTGGTAACTGTTAACCGAAGAACAGTATATTACTGATTGCTGACAGTTGTATCAGTATCACTTAATTGATAAGGAAGTACGACAAGGAAAGATTATTTCTTGTATCAATAACATTTCCAATTTAACTATTCAAAATATTTTTTATTCAAGAAATAGTTGGAAAGATGAAATAGAAATATCAGTAATCGTCTTTTCCTATTGACAGTTTAAATTATAAACCAAAAAAAAGGCAATGTCAAAACTTTGAAGACAAATTTCAAAGAACGATATTTTAGAAAAATTGAATGAGATTATCTGTAACGAAGAGTAAATCTTAAGGCATTTACTGCATATTTCAAGAAGGAAAATAAAATTTTTGGAAAAATAATGGTAATTGTGCTGTGAAAGGAAATGAAATGCTCTGAAAGAACGCTCAATGCGTAGACATAAATCACAATTAAATATCATCATTTTAAAATCATTGCTATAATTGAACCTATATGCATGTATGTCAAGTACCTTTGAAGTGACCCTGAAAATGGCATCTTTACAATTTTAATTTTAAAATTTCATTCCTTTGAAAAAATAGTAAAGAATCAATCCTTAAGAAGATACTATGATGTATGTTTGTCCATTGCACAGTAATGATCATTAAATGCTCCTTTTTATTCAAAAATTATTTACAGTGATTAGCTAATGCAATATTACATCATTCATTATCGATACAGCAATTCAACACTCTTCAATTCTAACTTTTTTTTTTAACTTAACTATTAAATTTTCATATTCCCTATCATTGAAAAGTCCACCCCATTCTTCTCTTCTTTATGTCCTTTCACTTAAATTCGTTTGGAAATGTCATATCCTGCCAGTATTTTTTATCTTCGGGATTATTTAACTTTTAATGAAGCGGCCAGTTCCTTGCGGTATGTTGTATTTCTTGCTGAAAGCTTACTGCATTTCTTAACATTAGCTTTATTCAATGCTTTAGTTATTATATGATGATCAGGAATTAATGTGTTGCAGTTGAAAACCTTAATTGTTATTAACTAATGAGCTGGTAAAATCTATGATTAGTTCAAATGTAATTCAGCAAATTACTCTTCATTTATTAACAATAGTACCGCAATATTCTGCTACTATACATTCGGATGCTCAAATAAAGATCTTCTTCATTCGGTGTATCAATTTTTTTTGCGCCGCATGATCGGACGTGTTTTGAGTGTTTGTTAAAAGTTTGTTTAGGATCATTCTGAATTTTGTGAGTGATTTGTTTAGTTTATAATCTG